ATGTATATTTTCTATTGGACCGAGATCTGGTGATTGTGGTAACAATCCCTCCGTTTGTAAATTTGGTGCACATCTTCCTCTTTCGACTATTGGATAATCGACATCTAAAACAGGATCTTCGTATTCCATTCATATGAAGTATAAACCATATAATGCATATTGTATCTATTTGCGCAGTCACGAATCATAATTGGCTTGTTCACAAATTAACATTAAATTCTGATATCATAGAACTTGCCTCTGATCTTTATCCAATTATCATAATTAAATAATTTGATGTGTTTGGTTTTCACTTACAGTATCATAGGCTTCTTGTGATGATTTAATCTTTATTATTATTATTATTATTAAAGAAGTTCTCGTAAGAGTCATGTGGTCATGTATATTTTCATTAGCAAATCAGGTTAAATTTTGACACCGAGTTCGGTTTATGGTTACCATTCTTCCTTTTGGAGTAATCAGTATGGCTAGTTGATTTAAAGCCTGTTACATCACGTGACACAGATCGTTATAATATACTAAACTTATAACATATGATTGGATCTGTGTCACATGAGATGCCAGGCTTTAACCCACCCCCATTTTTTACAAAAAGAGAAATCTTTTATCATACTTCAAACAAGTATAATTCTTGAAATATGAATATATATATATACTGTATATACAATATATACAGCAAATAAATCGGAAGAAATAGCCTTAATAGTATAAAGAGTCGCACAGAATAAATCACGCATTGGACGGGTGTTTAGCAAATTGCAATGATTACACTTTCACAAGTGAAACTTGTAAATTGGCGTATAATCTTCTTGTGGTATGTTACGCTATAGAAATGAAAAATGGGTTTTTTTTTTAATCCGATGGTTCAGGCTCAAAAAATATTGGCATTTATTAATTTTATAGGTTAATATGTTGGAATTGCTTATACTTAAATACCTTAAACATTTTACTATCTTAGCGACTTAATTATATACTTATGCGTACAATTTTCATAAAGAAACCAAATAAAACTTATGTTCAAAATCTTAATAAAAAAAAAAAATTAAGAAACAATGCTTGATGAATTGAACTAGGGGCCTTAAAACATTTCTACGCCTATATCACGTGACAAGAATATAACGATGTCTAAATATTTCGATCCCATTCGAAAAGTTTGCATTCGAATCCTGCAATTAACGAAAAATGTTACGGCACAGCCGTTATTGTAATTTTTACGGAAAGCGTTTATACTTACCAAGGGGGAACAAAGGTTCGAGGGGGAACTCAGAAGGTGTGGATAGGGATCCCATGAGAGCCGAATAGTTCGATGCTTGCCGTGGCCTTTTGGGAAATGATACCGGAACCATCCTAGTACGTTTGTAACAATTTAGACCATGACTTTGGCATCTACTACAAGGACTTAGACGATCACATCTTTTGTGCTTCTTTGCACAATGGTAGCAAGCTCTCGTGTGTCTAACCATGTTATCCACGATTAATAGAAAAGAAAAAAATTTGCAATCATTTATAAGTTTTTTTTCATTACCATTTATTTATTTTACATCATTACTACTACCCTAAACTTTGATTATAAGATCCATTCTACTTTGTTTCTTATGAACGCCGACTTAATCATCAAAAAAATGTCGGTAAAATTTCAATATTAAAGGTCCTTTTGTCAAATGCATTTTCGGAGAAGTTATTCTCGGTTCAAGCATGATGCAATTTGGCGATGAATCAAATGATCGCACAATGGCAAACGTTTTTTGTCTCCTCTTGTATGGCAATTCTTTGATTCTGAGCGTCCGCTGTCGACCAATAAATGCCTGATGGCCTTTCTCCTCTTTTCTTGCGATAAATTCCGATTACCAAGTATAGGCAATCAGTAAAATTTGAAAGCATTGACAAATAAAATAAATAAATAAATAAAATTTTTTAAGATATCTTCTTATTTGGGATGGGCAAAATTTTTTGCATGATTGAGCAATAAATGAATATTTCTTTTTTGGAGTTTGATAAGAACAAAAAGGATTGCCTCGCCCAACGACATCGAGGATCAGAAAATAAAA